TGGCTGCCCCCCGGCCCCCCGGCCCCCCGGCCTGTGGCGCGCGCCCTCGGCGAGGAGGAGCAGGAGGAGGCAGAGAGGCAGGCTCACCGGCCCCCCGGGCGAGCGGGCGAGCAGGAAACGCAAGCGGGGCAAGGACTTTGGGAGAGGAGGTCAAGAGAGCGTCGAGTTGTGGCTGCGGGCGTTGCCATGGTGATCGGAAGACCGGATGTGGCGACCTTAGGTTGCGACGGGCCCCTCGCGCGCCGCGGGAGGCCCCAGGTCCGTCAGGGGTGTGCGTCACCGTGGCGCGGCGGCGGGGGTGCTCTCCCACGTGGGGAGGAGGAGGAGAGGACGACCTGGGCGAGCAAGCCAGCAGAGCCTCCCCGTGAGCCGCGGGGCGAGCGGGGCCCCCAGGCCACACTTTGGAGGAGGATACCAGCCGGAGGTGGCGGGACGAAAGCTTGGGTTTCCCAGCCCACCGCCCCACCCGGAAGCGGAAACAGAGGTAGTGTGCCCCTTCCTCACTGCCCTCCAAGTCCTGCCGCGGCCATTGCGGCAGCCACGATGCCGAAACGAAAGAAGCAGAATCAGCAGCAGCCCCCGCCGCCGCCTCCACAGCCCGCACGGTGGGACCGGGACGAGCCGGGAGACGACGACGACGACGAGGAGGAGGAGGGGGAGGAGGAGAGTCCTATTGGTGAGGGGGAGGGCGTGCACACGCCTGTCCAGCGGGCCAGGGGCTGGGCGAGGAGGTGGGGTGGGGGCCGGGGCGGGAGGGCTGCTGGTGGAAGCTTGGACGAGGGTTGGCTTGCTCGAACCCTCAACCTCAGTCTGGCTCCTAACCCTTTCTGGAGAAGGCAGGGGAGGTGGCGGCTGAAGAGCTGGCTTGCGCAGCCGCAGAGTGAAGGTGGGGGGAGAGGGGCGGCAGGGCAGCGATGTTGCAGATTGCGATGAACGGGAAGACAATTTGTGACCACACTTCCACTGGTTAGGTGAAAGTGCAGCCTTCTGTGAACCTACTCCCCCGAGGGAAGGAGAGAAGAAAAAAAAATATGATGGGCCAACAGTTAAGGTGAGGGGTTGGGGTGCGTGGAAATCACGGGGCATGTTGTGGATGCAGCACTGTGAGACGAGAGCTGTTACGGGAACCTCTGTTACTCTCTCTGATGGAATCTCCACTGTTTTGCTCAGTCTCGAACAACACTGCAGAGGGAAGGGCAGATGGACGGGGTGAGAGATAGCGGCACTGCTGAGTGGATATATCTGACTTTACTGGTTAAAAAAAAAAAAAAAAACGATTGCTAAAGAGCACGTAAGAACGAGAGGATGGGTCCTTGGCACCGTTCTGATAACTGTGTTTTCACGTCTGCTCTTAGGACCACCCAGCCTTCTGGGGCCTCCCCCCATGGCTAATGGAAAGCCTGGTGATCCCAAGTCAGGTGAGGAGAAACGAACGGGCCCTCGTATGTGTTCTAAATCCTGAGAAGGGTTGGAGAAAAATTCATCACAGGCTTTTAAAACAAAAGTCCAGGGGAGCCGGGTGGTGGTGGTGGTACAATCCCGGCACTCAGGAGGCAGAGGCAGGCTGATCTCTGTGAGTTGGAGGACAGCCTGGTCTACAAGCAAGTACCAGGACAGGCCCCAAAAATACAGAGAAACCCTGTCTGGAAAAACCAAAAGAAAAAAAGTCCAGGGGTTGTGTTTTAACCGATGGTGGTGTGTTAACTGTTTGGAAACATGATTAACTCCTAGGTCTGAGGCTTTCACAGTCTGTCTCTATTCCAGTTGTGTAGAGATGAGCATTGTCCATCATAGGGAAACAGAGGCTCTCAGTGGGACACAAAACTTTGGTGTAAACTGCAGTAGTATGACATTGTGGTTTTCACAGAATAATCTCTGTTAAGTGGTACTGCTTGAGAGACTGAGGCAAAAGGGTCAGGAGCTCCTGTCCAGCCTCTCCTAAGTAGCAAATTAAGACCAGCCAGCCTGGGATACATCATGAGCTCCTGTCTGAGTGGAATCGGGGGCTTGTGAATATATGATCACTTAGGTGTAAAGCTGAAACCAGAGAAGTGGCTCTGTCAAGTGATGGCACCTCAATCGGATATTTATGTATGAACTTTGACCTTGTAGTGAAACCAAATAAAAACATCAAGTCTGGGTAAACTGTAAACTAAACAGGAATAAGCAAAAGGAAGTAAATGACTCATGGCCCCCGAGTAGCTGAGTGTTTAAACCACAGGAAGAAGGGCTGGGAGTTGAAGATCAGCTTGGCCTGCATAAGACACTGCCTTTACAAAAAAGGGGTGCACACACACACACACACACACACACACACACACACACACACACACACACACACACACACACACGAGTGGGGAGCGGTTGCGTTGATGAAGTGCTGGCTTCATGGGGTCTTGTCAAAAGCTGGGTCCAGCAGAGTGAAGAGTAGGCAGAGATAGGAAGGGCAGGGTTTGCTATGGCTTGTGAGCATGGCTAAATCAGCAAGTTCCAGGTTCGGTGAGATCCTATCAGTCTCTGGCCTCTATGCAAACACGAACTTGTGCTGATCATAATGTAAATGGGACTACATCAAATACTGTCAATTACACCCTTTTGCCTCAGTCTCTCAAATACATCAATTTCTGTCACTCTAATAACACTGTTGGCCAGCCATGAGGACACATGACTACTCTTAGTGAGCAATATAGAAATTTGTTAGAAAACCAAAAATTGCTGGGCATTGGTGTTGCACGCCTTTAATCCCAGCACTCGGGAGGCAGAGGCAGGTGGATCTCTATGAGTTCAAGACCAGCCTGGTCTACAAGAGCTAGTTCCAGGACAGCCTACAAAGCCACAGAGAAACACGGTCTCGAAAAACCAAAAAAAAAAAAAAAACAAAACTGAAAATAGCCAGGCATTGGTGGCGCACGCCTTTAATCCCAGCACTCAGGAGGCAGAGGCATGTGGGTCTCTGTGAGTTCCAGACCAGCCTAGTCTACAAGAACTAATTACGGCTAGGCAGTGGTGGCACACACCTTTAATCCCAGCACTCAGGAGGCAGGCGGATCTCTGTGAGTTCCAGACCAGCCTGGTCTACAAGAACTAATTATGGCTAGGTGTTGGTGGGGCACGCCTTTAATTCCAGGAGGCAGAGGCAGGGGGAACTCTGTGAGGTTGAGACCAGCCTGGTCTGCAAGAGCTAGTTCCAGGACAGGGTACAAAGCCACAGAGAAACCCTTGTCTCAAAAAACCAAAAAAAAAAAAAAAAAAAAAAAGTTACAATAGAGCTAACTGCTGCAGAAGCCAGCAGTTCTGCTTTGAGATTTATATTTGCGAGATTTGAAAGCATTGGGGTTGGAACTTTTGAGACAGTTGCTATGTAGCCCAGGCTGCCATCAAGCTAACAGAATGTATGCATTCAAGGGATATTTCATCCTACAAAGGAAGAAAATATTAGTGCCACAGCATGGGTGAACCTTAAGCACACTGTACTAAGAAAGTGCATGAGCTATCTAAAATCAGATTGATAGATACCACAGAATATCGACTCCTGGGGCTGTTGCAAATTTAAGGAAAGGGCTTGTTCAAACAACTCTTTCATAGCATGTGAACCATATACTTAAAAATAGCAGATTTGGAGGCAGAGGCAGGAGGATCTGAGTTCAAGGCCACCCTGGTCTACAAAGTTTCAAGCCAGAGCCACACAGAAAATCCCTGTCTAGAAATAAATAGTTGAGCTGGGTGGTGGTAATACACCCCTTTGATCCCAGCTCTTGGGAGTTCATGATCTACAGAACAAGTGCCAGGACAGCCAGAGCTGTTATACAGAGAAACCCTGTTTCACAAAAACAAAAAAAAAAAAAAAAAAAAAAAAAAAAAGTTGAGGTGAGTCAGGCTCTGCAGGTAAAAGTGCTTGCCAGCACTCCTGACAACCTAACTTGAATCCTCAGGCCCCATCCATTGTACAAAAGATGAATTTTCCTAGCTGTTCTCTGTCACACATGCATGCACATTGATGCCTGTGTACACACACACACACACACACACACACACACACACACACCCACAGCCAACACACAAATAAGATAGAATGTTTTTTTTTTTTTAAAGATTTTATTTATGTATACAACATTCTGCTTCCATGTATATCTGCACACCAGAAGAGGGCACCAGATCTCATAACAGATGGTTGTGAGCTACCATGTGGTTGCTGGGAATTGAACTCAGGACCTCTGGAAGAGCAGTCAGTGCTCTTAACCTCTGAGCCGTCTCTCCAGCCCCCAAGATAGAATGATTTTAACAGTCTCTTTCTTGGGGCTAGAGAGCAGTTACCAAGTGGTTAAGAGTTCTGTGGCTACTATTGCAAGAGGAGCTGAGTCCCTTTCTTTGCACATGGCAGCTGACTGTTCTAGCTCCAGTTCCAGGGGATCCAGTGCCCTTTCTTTGGCCTTATAGGCACCAGAGTGTGGTGCAGGAGCTTGAATACACTGTACTCACTTTGGAGCAATATACTCTGCCACACATATCCTGTAGCTGCACACTGGATGCCCACGTCCATCAGTAGAGTGGACAAGTCAGTTGTGATAGAACGCTACACTGCCAAGAAGACCAACAAACTACCACTGCAGACAAACCTGGGTGAAATCTCAGGATTCATGAAGGAAGCCAGAGTTCAAAACCAGGCAGAGATTCACGGCCGTGTCACCTTAGAAGTTAGGCTGGAGATTTAGCTCAGTAATGGCCTAGCATACACAGGCTCTTGGTGATTGATAGGAACCCAGGTAAAGATGTGGTAGTTGACTTGTGTCCTTGCAGGATGTGTCAGAATGCTTTGCTGCAGCCAGTGGGGGAGGGGCTTTGGGCAGGGATCAGCTGCCCAGCAGTCACCCTGTCTTTCTCTCTGCAGCTCTTCACAGGGGTCCTCCAGGGTCAAGGGGACCAATGATTCCACCACTGCTGAGCCTCCCACCTCCTCTCCGGGGCAGAGGCCCTATTCGAGGAGGCCTTGGTCCTAGATGTAGCCCATATGGTCATGGTTGGTGGGGTGTCAATCCCGAACCTCCTTTTCCCCGACCAGGCTATGGGGGCCCCTTTAGGGAAAGCTTTCACACAGAGCCAAGAAATCCACAAAGGTTCAAAAGCTGGTCTCTTACCAAGACCATCTACCCACCCAAGGATGGCCCCCACATGATAGAAGGTAAGGCCGGCCCTGTTAACGCCTCTGCCTTGTCCTGAATGCCAGCATGCTCTCCCTGGTCTCTTCTCCTTTGGGCAGTACCTGAGCAGCACTGATAATTAATGTGAGGCCTCTCCTGGACTAAGGACTCCTCCACCACTGATGCCAGCTTCTTAGCTGGCACATACAAGTAGTCCCTGATCATCTTTCTTCCCTTAGAATGTCTCTCCAAAATACTTGGTGGTCTGGGAGTCTTGCTCAGTGGTTGAGCAAGTTCACCATTGCATGCCTAAGGCTCTGTGTTCTACCCCTGACACCAAAACCAGAAGAAGTCAAAATACTTGTAAAACAATGTGTGGTAGAGACCTTGGCTTGCTCTCTGCACTGTTTCAAGCTCTTTCTTGGGATTGGGGGTGGAGAGTAGGGTGGGAGGGGAGGTGGGTGTGGGGGGGGGGGGGGGGGGGGGGGTGGATAGATAGGCAGACCTCAAACTTGTGACAGTCTTCCTGTCTCCGCCTCCTGCTTGCTGGGGTCAGGGTATGAGCCACCTCGTCCAGCTCTTGCTAGGTTCTAAGCTGTCGTTCTCACTTGTTCACAGACAAGTCTGACCGCCCTGTTTGCCGACACTTTTCCAAAAAGGGCCACTGTCGATATGAAGACCTTTGTGCCTTCTACCATCCGGGCGTCAATGGACCTCCTCTGTGAGACTGTGCCTCCCTCCCACCCAGTGGCCAGGCATCCCCTGTGGCTCCCTCATAGCTACTTGAAGTTCTTCTTCACCTCCAGTCAGTGACATGTGCACCCCATTCATCATTTCCCCCGTTTGGGGTCCAGAGTTGTGATTGTCACTGGAGTGCGGTGCGTGCCGTCTTCTGATCCAGGCTCCAGAGACCATCGGGACCCCGTCTTGCTCCCTTCCACTGCCTCCTGGATCTTCCCCTCTGGCAAATGACTGCTGAACAGGAAACCTTTGGTGCTGTTTGTTGTGCATCTGCCCCCAGGAGACACCACCCCACCCACCCCCTGTTGCAGTCCTCTGTCCTTTGCTGCTTGTTTGAAGTCCTTTGGCGTGAAGCCCCCACCGGTGTTTGAGCTGCCCATGAAATGCACCGGGTTGTCTGGCCGTGGGGTCAGGTTTGAGTGACTGGTACAGGCTTGCTCCCCCACCAGCCTCCCTGCCCACCTCCCTTGCTTTTGGACGTCCTAGTTTCTTGTCAGTAGCATGAACCCCACCGCTAAGGCCTGTGGTCAGTGTTTTTTGTGAAACTGTGCTCCCCTCGTAGCCTTCCTCAGTGTCTGACATCTTCGTGACTTCCCAGCACTAGATAAGTTTCTCTGCCAAATGGAGCGAGGCTCTTGGTGCCCTGTAGACTTTGCCTACCTCCCAGCATGGGAGACTGAGACTTCCTCCCCGACCGTCTGTTGTGCCCTCTCTCCTGGTGTCAGTTGTCAGTCGTTCTGGGTCTGGTGAAGCCTCAGGCGGGCATCACCACCCAGCTCCTGCCTGGCTCGTTTCAGTTAGGCCCTGTCATTGTGAGGCCACCAGCCCTTCATTTGAATCCTGTGACTCCACCTGGCCTTGTCCTGTCTTTGGTGGAACCTGGACGGTAGTAGTGTCACCTCTCACCCTCTCCCCTCACATCCCTGGTATTGGGTGTTTTCTGTGAAAACAGCAGTGAGATGTTGGGTGTTGAGCTGGCCCTAAGGAAGGCCAGGAGGTGTGGGCAAGAGAGTGAGAGTTGGTTTGTTTTTTTTTTTTCCTTTTTAATTTTTTTTATATTAGTAATAAATACAGTGGAAACTGGTGTTTGCCCCTCGATTCTGTGTTGTGGTCATCTGAAGTACAGGTGAGGCAGCTAGGAGTCCACTCACCCCTTAGTTCATCGGGGCCAGCAGCACAGTTGCACCCCGGAAACGATTGGAGGAGCAGATTCGGCAGTGGCAAGGAGTTGAGGTCTGAAGGGTACCCAGGAGGAGGAGGAGGAAGGAGTGGTGGAGGAAAGAGCAGGAGACCTTGGATTTGGGTCTAAAAGCTAAATCAGAAGAGTAACAATTATTTTGTGATCCCCCCTTGTAAATCAAATCGTTTAGTTCTCCACATGAACTTTGTAGATAACAGTGCCAAGTTGTGTAATGACTTCTTGTTAAGAGCTTGGACATGCCTGTCTCCTCAGGTTGGGGAACAGACTTGGAAATGGAGTTTTTTGTTTGTTTGTTTTGGTTTTTTGAGACAGGGTTTCTCTGTGGCTTTGGAGGAGGAAATGGAGATTTTTAAAAATATTTTTTAATTTATTATTTTATGTGTATGAATACTTTGCCTGTGTGTATGTATGTGCCTGCCGTGGAGGTCAGAAGAATGCATCAGATCCTCTGGGACTAGGGTCACAGGCAGTTGTGAGCCCCCATGTGGGTGCTGGGAATCAAACCTGGGTCCTCTGCAGAGCAACAAGTGCCATGTCCCCAGCCCAGAAATGACGATATAAGTTACTGAAATGACACGACAGAGCTGCAATGGTGGTGTAGGTTTGGATAATGGAGTTGGGAAAATGATGTTTGGAACAATCAAAATGAAAGCATTTGGAGCAGGAGAAGATGGCTCTGCAGTTAAAGCCTGAATCTGGTGCCCAGAACCCATGTCACTTCCAGAGGATTCGGCGCCCTCATCTGACCTGAGAGCACCAGGCATGTACTCAGTGCGAACATGCAGGCAAAACACATGAGTAATTTTTAATTTTTTTTAAATTTTATTTGTTTGTTCTGTATACAACATTCTGCTTCCATGTAGATCTGCACACCAGAAGAAGGCACCAGATCTCGTAACAGATGGTTGTGAACCACCATGTGGGTTCTGGGAATTGAACTCTGGACGAGCAGTCAGTGCTCTTAACCTCTGAGCCATCTCTCCAGCCTCCAATTTTTAAATTTTTAAAAGACTTTCAAAAGATTGAGCTTGGAAGCTCAGGGGCAGCGGCCAGCAAAGGAGGGACAAGGCTGGCTCCAGATACTAGGAAAAAGTATTTGAGAAATGGAGAGAAAGTGACAACTGCCAGATGTGCTCGGAGAACAGGACAAAGACCATTGGTGTCTGACGTGTGGGTATTGGGACAGAAGCATCATAGGGGCTGGGAATATGGCTCAGACGGTAGTGTTTGATAGTATGCTTGAAACCGTAGGTTCAATTCTTAGAGCATATAAATAGGGGCTGGATAGGTGGCTCAGCGGTTAAGAGCACTGACTGCTCTTCCAGAGGACCTGGGTTCAATTCCCAGAACCCACATGGTAGCGGGCCTAATACCATCGTACAGACATCCACACAAACAAAACATCCCAATGTATATAAAACAAGAATAAAGTATTTTCAAACACTTTTTAAAAAATATAAATAAACCAGGCATATCAACACAGGTGTGTGGTCCCAATACTCAGGAGGGAGGTGGAGAAAAAAATGGGGAATCCAATGTCGTCTTTGGCCACTTAGTGGACTTGAGGCAAGCCTGGAGAAAAAGAAAAGCATGACTAAGGATGGGAGCTGACCCAGTCATTCATTAGAGTTAGAAGCCAACCTATCTTTTAAAAGACATGTGCTTCAAAGTAGGCAGAGGCAGGCAGATGCCTGAGTTCAAGGCCAGCCTGGTCTACCGAGCCAGTTCTAGGACAGGCAAGGCTACCCAGAGAACCCCTGTCGAAAATCCTCCCCCCACCACCTCCCCAAAGAGGTATGTTTATCAAAGCTTACCAAGTGTTCCTTGCTTGCCTGCCGTTTTATTGTATTGCAATTGCAGTGAGCCAATTAGAGCAAAATGATCGCACATCTACAGGAGCACGCCCTTAATCCCAGCACTCAGAGGCAGGTGGATCTCTGAGAGTTTGAGATCAGTCAGGTCTCCAGAGCGAGTTCCAGGACAGGCTCCAAAGCTATACAGAGAAACCCTGCCTCGAAAAACCAATAAATAAATAAATAAAACGAAGAGGTTAGAAAGTAGTGGGAATGACTGGAGAGGTGTACTGATTTAATAAAGTGACCAGTCAGGCATAATAGTGCAGACCTGGAATCCCAGCTCTCCCAAAGGCAATAGGCGAGCAGAACTCGAGGAGTTTCCAGGCCAGCCAAGTGCTACACAGTGAGACCCAAAACAACAAAAAGATTTAGAGCGGGATGTGGTGAGGCACACCTTAAACTCACCATTCTAGAGCCAAAGGCTCTCTGGGTCGGATCGGAGGCCAGCTCAGGGTGACACAGTGAGATAAAAGCTGCCTCACCCACTCCCTCCCACCCAGAAATTACGTCGCTCCTTGGGTGTCACCGCGTCGCCACACCAGCAGCGGCTCAGGCGTGGGGACCGTCATAACGCGCTGCGGGCTCGCCGGTTCCGGGTAAGGTGGTGTCTCCTCCCAAGCCACGCCCCCAAGGCCGCGGTGCCGCCACGCCCCCTCGCCCAAGGCCTTTGCTCACCCGGGGGCGGGGCGGGGCGGAGCGTCTAGTGGAGAGCCCGCCCACTGGCGGCCCCACGCCGCCGGAAGCGGAAACAGCACCAGAGGTCCCCGGAGTACCCGCAACTGCCGCCGCGATGCCGAAGGCTCCCAAGCAGCAGCCACCCGAGCCCAAGTGGTTCGGGTC